TATATATAATAAATAAAATCTTTAAAAAAATTTCATGCATGAGAAGAAGGTGGTAGGAAGTAGAGCCAGAGTGTAGCAGGGCCTAGGTCTGGTCTTTATTTTAAATGGCCTCTTCTGACTTGGGAGAGGTTCTGAGGTCCAACAGAAGGGAGGTGAGGCCTGCCCCGGGGAACTATGTGGGTTCCGGCTGATCTAGGAACAGGGTTCCATGTCCTGGTCATGAACTGTCTGGGTCTGAGAGTTTAGTAAGCTGAGGGTGTGTGCAGCCAGCCAAGGGGTCCAACTTTGGTACCTTCTCCATGCCGTGTGAGCGTGGCTCATGGTAGGCAGTTAAGCTCTACAAATTGAATTTTGGACTAGAGACTAGGTGAGATCCCTGGCGTGGGATGGGGCCACACTGGAGTGATGAAGCCAAGATCCAAGTCTGAGGCCTGAGCCCCGGGTCTCCCACAAGCAGTCGCTAGGAAAATGAGGTCACCTGAGGTTGTACGAGCAGGAAGTGACAGCCTGGGGATGGTGGTACCCTCATACTCATCCTAAGAGAAAGGACCTGTAAGTCACAGCACCTGGCAGTCAGGGGGATCTTATTGATGAGAGAGAGTGTGGGCCAAACTCTTTCTCCAGTGTGGTATGTCTGCAACCCTACTTCCTCTTTGTGGACCAGAGCTTTCCCCGAACCACTCTGCCCTGCATCACCATTGTACCCTAGGGACATTACAATGTGGTAATAGGGACAATGAATGTGATAGGGACAACTATCAGGCCTCTGAAGCCCTGGGATGCAAGCCAGGGAGCCAGGAACTAGATGAGTCAATGTCACCTCTCACCCACACGCAAACCTGAGGGACACGGCAGCGATTGTTAGCTGCCCCTCTGTGGCTCTCGCTGTTTGCTGCAGGCCTGGAGGTCTCCGAGCTCCATGTGTGTCTCACTAATTTCCTTGGACATCCTTTGGTCAAAAAGAGGGGAGATAGCTCAGTGGGTAGAATGCTTGACAAGAAAGCATGGTAACCATGTAAAAAGCTGGGCATGGAGTCTTTCGTCTACTAAACAGGAACTGGAAACAAGAGGCAAGAGAATCCTAGGCAATCGTTAGCCGGCCAGTTCAGTCAATTGGTGAGCTCCAGGTTCAGTGAGACCCTGTTTCAAAAAACAAGGTGGAGAACTAAACTGGAATATGCCTGATATTGATCTCTGGCTTCTAAGTGTGTACATGTGCACACAAACACACACAGACCAACAAAAGAAAGACCTAATCATTCTGTTGATTTGTTGGGCCAAACAACACAGCAATTTCTCAACTGTCCTAGGAGGTTATCTGGGAGCTGGGGTTGTAAGTCAGCTGGGAGAGTTCTTGCTTAGCTTGTGTGTCCTGAGTTCTGTTCCCAGCACCTGGTAAGCTGGATGTAATGGCACGGGCCCATGATCCCAGCACTCAGAAGGTGCCGGCAAGAGAATCAGAAATTAAAGATCAACAGGTTGGAGCTAGTTAGGGATTCATAAGACCTTGTCTCAAAAGAAAAAAATAATTACAGTTGAAAATAAGTGAAGGGTACATAAATGGAAATAAGTGAAAGACACAAACCCTTGGTTTAGTTTTTAAACAACTGCACTTGCTTGTTGAAAGGGTTCTGGGTCTAACTTTCAAGCTTTAATTTGATTGAGTTTCCTGGTTTGCCTTGGCTTTCACCTGGAATTTGCTTTCTTACCACAGCAATGGTTGCCAACCCAGTTTGTTAAAGAGGTAAGCAAAGGAGAATGTTCCCAGTGTTGGAACTCTGAGCTCTCTCTGTCAGGAGGTATCTGATAGGCTGTATGTTTCTGTGTTATGTCCCCTTAAATGTAAAATAATCAAGTGTATTTTAATCCCAGCACTCAGGAGGCTGAGGCAGGTGGATCTCTGTGAGTTCAAGCCAGCTTGGTCTACAGAGTGAGTTCCATGACAGCCAGGGCTGGCTACACAATGAGACTCTTGTTTCAAAACAACCCTTTGCTCCCAAATGGCTGCAGTGTTCCCTGAGAATTCACTGTGGCACCCTGGGAAGCCTTATCAAACATTTCAGGAACTGTAGCTCCAACTAATGCAAGTCTTTGTGTTTCCCCACCCTGCCTGTACTGTTATGTCTTAAATATTCTTGCCTCACCACTGCCCAGCTGACTTTTTAATTCTCTTAATAGTAACTTTTGGAGAACAATGTTTCCCTCCTCTCTTGGTTCTGCTGGTTGACAGGGGACCCCAATAATGCTAAAGATACTCTATTTCACTTAGCCACACATACCTCTAGTTCAAGCAGAAGGTTGTAGATTCTTATGAAGTTCATTTATCAGTTTATAACATATCTTTTCGTGTGTGTATTGCAGGATGAACCCAGGGCCTTGCCTGGGCTAGGCTATCTCTCTGCCCAGAGTTTCACCCCAATTCCCAATTTACCTTTGATGAATAGTGCTTTCGTGTCATATCTAAGAATCTATTTTTTTTTTTTTTTTGCCTCAGGTTGTAAGGCTTTTCTTTTGATTTTTTTTTCTTCTGAAAGTTTCCTAACTTTGCATTTATATTAGGGCCTATGTACATTTTGGGTTAATTTTTGTCATGCTGTAAGATACTGAGCTCACGCTGTCGTCCTGCTGCAGTCCTGAGAAGCTGGGACTACAGGTATGGTCACAGTGCTGGCTTTCTCTTACTTATGGACAACACCTCAAAGCTTTCTGGATTTACTCGTGTGGAGTTGCTTCGGGCCAGAAATTGTATTGGCTTCTCACTGTGGCTGTAACAAACTGCTTGAAGCAGCAAACTTACCTGTGCGTTGGTATAGGCCCAAGCCTCAGCTGGCTGTAACCAAAGCGGCTTCTTCCTGAGACCATGTAGAGTCCACGTGCTGAGGTAACCACCTTCTAGAAGTCCATGCCCCTGGCCTCCTGGCCCGGGACTTCCTTCAGAGCCGCTCACTGCTGTGGCCTCTTCACATCCCTCTGAGCCAACCCTCCAGCCTTTCTCTCTCTTTTGAAGTCTTTAAAAATATATTTATTAGGGGGCTGGAGAGATGGCTCAGAGGTTAAGAGCACTGACTGCTCTTCCAGAGGTCCTGAGTTCAATTCCCAGCAACCACATGGTGGCTCACAACCATCCGTTATGAGATCTGGTGCCCTCTTCTGGTGTGCAGATATACATGGAAGCAGAATGTTGTATACATACATATGTATACATACATAATAAATAAATAAAATCTTTAAAAAATATATATTTATTAATTTATTTTTTACATTCCAATTCCAGCTCCCCTCTCTCCCCTCCTCCTGCTCCCCCGCCCCACCTTCCATCTGCTCCTCAGAGAGGATGAGACCTCCCCTAGGAAGTCTACTAAGTCTGTCTCATCATCTCATTGGCAGCCTTTCTCTCTTAAGGACCTTTGTAAAGACTCTGGGCCACCCATATGGTCCAGGGTGATGTCTCTTTTCGTGGTCTTGACCATGAACACAGCTGTAGAGTTGTCCCTTTTCCCACGTCTGATCATCTGGCCAGAGGTTCGAGGATGCCAACATGAGATACAGGGCACTGAGGCAAGCTTGCAGGTCTCAGGTGAGGGCTGGATTAACCGTGATGAGAGGATGCAGGAGTGAAGGAGGAAGAAACAGACGGGACAGGCCTGACAGGGCTGCCCATCCCTCTCCTCCCAGTACCCCATCTCAGTCTTGCTAGAGTCCTTCAGGGGGTGTTGCTCCCAGGCTCAGGGCTCTCAACTGCTGTCTCCTCTCTCCAAGATGGGTCTGGCCTGGCCCTGATGTCCAGCCCCCTGATCCCTGAGGCTGAGGAGATCTGAAGGGCTCATTGCTAGATGCAGAGTCTCTTCCTGGGCACTGCTTAGAGGGAGAGAGTGGGTTGGTGGCATCGATACTACTTATTACCCACTCTTCACTACTCTCTGCTGGTGGCTATATTGGACCTCCCCCACCCCCCAGGGTAGCCCACTCTGGCCTGCTATTCTAGCTCCCCAGAGTCAAGGGAGGGCCACAAATTAGTCACCAGAACAAAACCTGCCACCCATTCACAATTGGCCACCAGTGTGCCCCATGTCTTATTTAGGGTGCTGACAGGTTTGGGGGAAGCTCAGCTCCACCCAGCTTCAGAGGCAAGGGCACTGCAGTGCCGGGCGCGCGCGGGGCGGGGAGTGTAGGTAACCAGCAAGCCTCCCTAGTTGTCCTCCTCCAGCGACAGGGGAGTCCTGCCCTCAGCGTGGCAGATTAGAAATGGGACGCTCAGAGAGGACAGGACCTGGAGAGAGGTCAAGCCTGGAGCCTTGCTAACGCACTCTGATGCGCTCCCATGCGGGCCTTCTTCTGGGAGCCGCACAGTTTGGATTTAGCCCACAGGGTATACAATTATAGAGCTAAGGTCTAGGCCCTGACACGTGTGTCTTTGTGGCCCACTGGGGAGTCTGGCCAGGAGGTATAATTGGGGCTAGTGGCTAGCAGCGGGGCGATCAGCTCCGCCCCACCCTCCGCAGGTCCCGGTCCAGTGGTCTGCCTGTTGTAGGTGAGCAGTCACTTTAGTGGCCGTCAGGGTCTGAGATTGGAGGGCTACAGAGGGATTTCGGGGTGTGTGGGGGACCGATGATACCCATCTGCCTCATTTTTTGCGGTGTGTTGAGGCCAAATGGACAGACCACGTGGTCTGGGGCGGATGGCAGGTTGTCTGGCACCTAGTGCCACCT